ACAAAAACGTTGTTGACATTTAATAATTTCTCATAGTTTTTCCTTTTCATTCAAGTGTTGATAATCGCTCAGTTATCGGGCAAGAGAAAATCCCCCTAAGAGTTTGGATAAAAATATTGAAATGCCATTTTTGTCTCAAGTGGGAGAGATTTTGGTAAATTGATGAAAATTGCATCTTGATGGGAGTCATTTTTCTTTTTACCCTGCAAGTTGTGGATTAAGTCTGAATCCACTTGGGAATGGTGTTAACTATGACTTAATCATACTCATAGTTACACAGTCCTCGCTGATCCATACAGAAACAAAGCTATTCCACCCAGACACAATCAGGTGTTGCAAACACCCAACGTCCTTTAATAGGCTACCCTTCATTGTGACAGTCTCCTGTGCTTGCCTCAGTGCTCAGCCATATTTCTCACCTTACCCTATTAATGAATAATCAGGCACTGCTTCTTTGTGATCACACACCAATGATAGAGTTACGGGCACCAGATGCTGCTTTTCAAGCCTCTTTGAGGCAAAATTGAGTCTGTATGCTTATACAGACGGGCACCTCTTCACATTAACGTGACTGTGCAAGCATGCGCATGCAGAAGCATGCATGTGTGACATGGAGGGATCGAGAGAGGAGAGAATAGAAACAGAAGTGGAGCAGGAACAAGGGCATCCCTTTAAGAGCAGCCTGCAGAGACTTTGTCCTACATTCCTCTTTGTTTCATGGGAGCACAGAGGAAGGGGAGAAAAAAAAGGGATGAAGAACGAGGGATGGGCCAAGGTATTAAAACAGATTCAGATGTGGGCGGGAGAGGACGCAGTATTCTCCCATTGAAAACATCCCCAAAATAGCATCAGTTTGGCAAGTGAAGTCTGCCGCAGAGGAAGAGAAAAGGCATTGCCTTATCATCCATTATTATGTGCACTGTGGTAAACAAGCAGTTTGAGAAAATAAACAGATGGACAATCTTTTTCATTAAAGTTACATTACCATTCATTCGGGGGGGGGGGGGGG